AAGGCTAGATTGTAAATGATTACATGTGTCTTTTAACACAGCTGGTGCCTTAAATAGAGAGTTGATATATACACCACTAAATACCAAAAGAGGAATGTCAAAAAGTTCTGTTGCTCATGTTTACCATTCCTTCCAGGCAATGCTGAGGCTACAAACCTGCACAATCAGGTGCTTCGCCACGATTGCAGCTCTCCAGGAGGTCACTGGACCAATCCCTCAACATAAGCAATATCAAAGGAACCAACCAGACCTATGCAGACCTCAGCATTTCAGACAGTGGAGACTCTTTCACTAAAAGAGCATTGACCTGGAAACAGCGGCCAGGTTTCCGCAAGAAGAGAACCAGAGCCTTGGAGTCAGTATCTCAGCCAGAATTGCCAGTTGGTGCCCTTATGAAGAAGACCAGCTCTATGGATCAGTCACTCAGGAGTCTTAGGTCAAACACAAGCTTAGCCAGTCAGACATATGCTGACCTGAGTCTCCTGGCCAGTGATGAGTCTTCTCTGAGTGAGAGCATTAACCTAGAGAAAGTCACCAGGTTCCGTAAGAGAAGCAAGCCTCTGGCGTCTGCATCCCAGCCGGAACTGTCCTCCAAAATTGTTGCCAAGAAGCCTACCACAGGAAAGAAGGCAGGAGGGAAGATGGAGTCAAGTGTTTTCCTCAGTACGGATAAAACCTATGGGGCCATAAGTGATAGCCTACTAGAGTCTTCCAATGACAGCATTAACCTTGAAGCAGCCAGGAAGATGCGCTACCGTAGCAGGAGAGAGAAAGTGGTCCTCTCCCAGCCTAACCCAGATTTACCTCCCCTCGTAACACCAAAGAAAGGAAAAGGCTCCTCACGACAAAATATGTCCCCCAAATGGAAGTCACCAGAAAGGTTTACCTCCCGTAGAGGGAAAGAAGAAAAAAGGCCAGATTCACCTGTAGCTATACCATCAACCAAGCCAACTTCCCACCTTGACAATACTTATGACTTAGACAGTGCTGATGAGAGCCTAGAAAATGTAAAGGCAGCAACTAGGCGAAGGTTTGGGCGTAAAGCACCACCTGTGGAGTTGAATTTGACTGCACTCATGAAGAATTTGAAAAAGTCAGAACTGGAAACAGTAGAGGATGAGGAAGAGGAGAAAGAGAGGGAAAGAAACAGCCTTCAGAAACTGAGAGCACAACTTTACAAGAGGACGAACACATGGAGAAAGAGTCTAGCCACATACTGATTTCTCTAGATTCAAGTAGCGAGAATAGTTTTGATGATCAGGATAGCCAAGCCTCTCAGGCCATCAGAGCGATCCCAGAAAGTCAGGATAATGATGGTATTCTAATTCCTGAGACCCAGGAATCAGTGAGGGAGGGCCAGGGAGTTGATACACCAAATAGTTATTCATCTGAAACTGAGGATCTGCATGAAGAGCGCAGAAAGGGGTGACATCCATCCCAGATACACAAGAGGAGCAGAGGGAGGGGTGACATCCATCCCAGAACACAAAAGGAGGCAGAGGGAGGGGAGACATCCATCCCAGAAACACAAGAGGAGGCAGAGGGAGGGGAGACATCCATCCCAGAAACACAAGAAGAGGCAGAGGGAGGGGAGACATCCATCCAGAAACACAAAAGGAGGCAGAAGGAGGAGACATCCATCCCAGAAACACAAGAGGAGGCAGAGGGAGGGGAGACATCCATCCAGAAACACAAGAGGAGGCAGAGGGAGGGGAGACATCCATCCCAGAAACACAAGAGGAGGCAGAGGGAGGGGAGACATCCATCCCAGAAACACAAGAGAGTAATGCCAGTGCTGGGGCTCATTCCACTACCAAGGAACTGATTGAGAAAGAGGATGAATACCCTGACCAGCTGTCTCCCCCACTCAACTTCCGATGATGAGAGCACCGAGATAATGAGGCATCTGAGATTGATCATACAAGCTTTATTCTTGATAGCGATGATGACAAGGATAAAGAATTAGAGCAACATATCTGCACCCATCTCTACTCTAGAGGGATCACCTGATCGTAATAGGAGTTCTGCTGGGGTCTCAGATATGGCTTCATCTCCACTGCGGAAAAGTATGAGATTACACATGGATAAGACAGATTCTCCTCAGAAATCTTTAGAATCAGATGCCAAATTTTCTGAGATGAGCTTGGGATCTCAAGTTCAAATTGAGAGCAAAAGCCAGCTCAGGGCTCGTTCTTCCCTTGGGGAGACTACAGGGGAACGTTCTTCACCAAGGAGTGCAAGGAAAAGTTTGCCTGCTTCATTTTCACAGAGACTTGCAGGCTTGGATAGCAAAAGTCCAAGGAAAAGTGTTGGGCTCTATTTGGAAAGTAATTTTGATAAAGATTTACAGAGTGGCAGCCCATGGAAAGATTTTAAGATGAAAAATGCTCTGGTGAAATTGACAAGACTAGATGAAAGTACAGCCACAAATCTTTCACCAGCTGGAATATCTAGACTTAAAACAGAGTCCCCTTCAGAACATACCATAAGAACCTCACAA